TTAAAGGAATACTCCACTTTTTATTTTTGTTTTTTTTAAATGCCAAGCCTATTCTGACACACTTGGTTTCCAAGTTAAAATCAGTATTTCTTTGTGCTAGAAAATTACTTTGAACCTCCTAACATTATATATTTTAGCAGAGGCCCTAGAGCATAGGTGTCAAACTGGCGACCCTCCAGCTGTTGCCAAACTACAAGTCCCATGAGGCATTGCAAGATTGACACTTACAAGCATGACTCCCAAAGGCAGAGGCATGATGGGACTTGTAGTTTCACAACAGCTGGAGTGCTGCCAGTTCGACACCCCTGCCCTAAAGTATACAATGGTGGTTGTTGCAATTTGTTTTTATGTTGCACAATATTTGCTCTGCAGTTTTTAAAACACTCATGTCCATTGACAGGTACAGCGGCATATTTAACCACATGGCCTCCAGAGGATTTACCCCCCTTCCTGACCAGGCCATTTTTTTTGTGTTACAGCGCTGTGTTACTTTAACTGACAATTGCATGGTCATGCAACGCTGCACTCAAAAATGACATTTACATCCTTTTTTCCCCCCCACGAATTGAGCTTTCAGTGGTATTTGATCGCCTGTGCGTTTAATTTTTTTGTGCTTTACAAAAAAAAAAAAAAAAAAAAAAAAAAAACACAATATTTTTGACTTTCTGCTATTAAACATGTCCAGTAAAATAAAAAAAAAAAAAAAAAAAAAAAAAATTCGTCATAAAAATTTAGGCCAAAATGTATTCTGCTACATGTCTGCAAAAAAAAAAAATCCCAATATGTGTAAATGAATTGGTTTCCAAAAAGTTATAGCGTCTACAAATGGCGGTATATATACTGGAATTTGTTTATATTTACTAGCAATGGCAGCGATCAGCGACTTATAGCAGGCCTGCGGCGGGCATTCTGACATTGGGGGGAATGGACTTGGTGTCACATCCCCAGTGACACCAATACAGTGAAAAGTGCTAAAAAAAGAAAAAGAAAAAAAAAAAAAAAAGCACTGACACTGTACTAATGGCACTGAGCAGGAAGGGGTTAACATGAGGGGCGACCAAAGGGTTAACGGTGTGCTGTTTCACTATAATCTGTGTATTTCACTGTAATAACACTGCTTTGCATGGCTGAGCTGTGCACAGCCATCCAAAGCAGTGTGCAAGAGCTGACAGGGAGGAGAACCGTTTTGTTTACAAACAGTTCTCCTCCCCATCAAAGATGCTTGGCAATCAGTGGGTGCCAGCGAGTAATCACGGCTGTGGCTGCAAATGGCAGCGGGGGTAGGGCGCATTCCCCCTACCCGGAAATGCAAAATCACGTATATGTGGTTTTGTGCACCCGTGCTGCCCTGTAGCAGTATATCTGCTATTAGGGTGATCGGGAAGCGGTTACCCTTAATGAAGCTGCTCTGTCCATCAATGAACTCAGAGAATGGGATTTTACTGTCAGTACAAAAAATCCATTTAAAAAAACAAAAAAAAACAAAAACACTTTAACCTCTTGCCGTCCGCCTGCTGTTTATAAACGGCAGGGCGGTGGCACTCCAGGGTCGGGTTGCCGTCCATAAACGGCACCCGCCTTTTTTAGCTGTGCGCGCTCCCTGGGAGCGCTCACCACTGCGATCCGGTGCCCGCTGTGTCCTCCGGACACAGTGAAACACCGATCGTCAGACGGGACCTCTGTACGAGGTCCCGATCATGTGATCACTGATTGGCGAATCAGTGATCACATGCAATGTAGTAAGCAAGATGTCACTTGTGACATCATTGCTTACTATGTGTGAAATCTGTGAATGATCACAGAGGTCACATGGTACAAGGCTATTCACAACAGCCTTGTACCATGTGACAAGCTGTGACCACTCACAGCTCACTCAGTAATTCTCAATGACTGCAAGAATGCAGACAGAAAGAAAGAGAAATGATTGCTTTTACATCCTATATGGGTGTAAAAGCAATCAGTGTAAAAAAAAAAAAAAAAAAAATCATCACCCTCCACAAGTAGTACAGTGTCACCATGGTGACAGTGTACTGCTAGGGTGACAGTATGTAAAAAACAAAAAAAAAATAAAAAATATAAAAAAAATAAAATAAAATGTAAAAAAAAATGTTTAAAAATTATAATTTTTGGTTATAAACTAATTTGGATTTTTTTTTTTACTAAAAAAAATAACGGAATAAATTTTGGCTAAGATTTATGATGAAATATTATTTATTTGCAAAATTTTATTTAAAAAAACACTTTTTTTCAAAATTTTTGAACTTTTTCATTTACATAGTAAAAAAAAAATAAAAATCCCAGCGGTGAATAAATACCACCAAAATAAAGCTTTATCTGTCTCAAAAAAATGGTAAAAAATTTCATATGGGTATAGTATTGCATGACCGCGCAATTGTCATTCAAAGTGTGATAGCGCTGAAAGCTAAAAATTGCCCTGGACAGGAAGGGGTAAAAGTGTCCGGACAGGAAGTGGTTAAGGCTAGATTTACACCTATACAGGTTGCGTTTGAGACATTTCTGCATTGCGTTTTGCATATTTACACTTGCGTTTGACATAGCCTTTTTTTTTCGTTTATCTTTATTTTTCTTGTTGCTAGGCAAATGCAAAATGCATCAAAAACGCGGTAAAAATGCAATACATGCTTTTCTGCAGCATTTCTATTGAAGTCTATAGAAACAAAAACGCAAACTTTTTGCATTCAAAAAAGTCCCTGACTCTTTCCAAAAAATGCACGGGTGAAAACGCAGAGATGTGAACCTGTCCCATAGGAAATCATGTTAAATGGACTATACTGCATTTCTGCAAAACGCTGTAGAAAATGCTTAGGTGTGAACCTGGGGTAAAGGATAAGTTCACCTTTCGTAACAGGTTACATCCATTTTCCAGGATGTAACATGTTACAAAACACCAGTCCCCCCCCCCACTCACTTTACCCCATTGTGACAGCTAGCGGGGGATCTTCTCCCCCCTGCTTAGGGCTGCCACCTCATCCCTTTAAAACCAAACATATTAATTACACAGGTTGAGGCGAATTTATTGCAGATAAGGCACAGAGTTTAATTAAAGGATAAAGTTCATCTTTGGGAATATATTCCACCGGTTTATAGGGTAGAACATGTAACATGTTCCCATAGCCGCAGCCGTGCCCGCCGCCCCTTTCCCTCTGACAGATAGTATGTGGAGACTTTCTCCCCGTATCATGTCAAAATTTGAAAACAGCGCAGAGGAGCTACGCCCACACGGCCGCATCATTCCTTCATGGACTTCTGTGATTGAATGAACTGCTGCAAGTCCCGACAGCCTTAGTGGCTGTGGGCTTGTAGTTTTCAAAGAACTACTACAGCACTGTGGAGCGCCATGGTAGTTCATTGAAGTTTCCTGTCAGAATATCCACTTGGCTGTGCATCCCGTACATCAAGCAGATATTCTGACAGGTCTGCAGGAGAGCTGCATGGCATCAGCGATCTACTGATCACTGGTGCAATGCTTTCCAGGTTCCCGTAGACAAAAATAATAAATGCACTTTTTTTTTTAACTGCAAAAAAAAAAAAATGCATTATTTTTGTCTAAAAAGGGAACTTGTCCTTTAATCAGCTTCAGAACCTGTGTAATTAATATGCACTTGGTTTTAAAAAGGATGAAGTGGCAATCCTGTCCCCAGTAGCTGTCACAATTTTTTTTTTGTTTTTAAACGTGGCCGAGTCACTCATTCCCGGTAGTCTGAATGAGAAAACTGCAAAATTCCAAATGTCTTTGCAGCTGTTGGCTTGTAGTTCTCAATGAACTACCGTGGTGCTGTTGAGTGTCGTGGTAGCTCATTGATTCTTCCTGTCAGAGTGTATCTGCTTGCTTGTTCAATGTACAGGCACATAGATACACGGACAGGTCTGCAGGAGACCTGCATTGCTGCAGTGAACTGCTGATCACTGGTGCAATGCTATTCAGGTTCCCGAAACAAATTAAAAAAAAATAGTTATGCACATTTTTTTATCTGCAAAAAAATATGCATTTATTATTACAGCGGAACCTCTGTAGTCGCAGAATATAAAGGTAATTTGGGCTTGCTGCCTGATAGTATTTAGAGAAGCAGGGGACTTCTAGCCCACCATTCAATCTACTGCGTGTTAGCACTGTAGAGGGTACCCTAGGTTCGAGAGGGCCCCAAATGTACTTATGTACTCTTCTTTGAATAATGTGAAAAAATAGGATGGTACCGCTATGGGGAGGAGCCGAAAAAGAAAAAGCATCTTGGGAAGTAAAGGCATTTTTATAACGGTTATGTGACCTAGCCAGGAAACATACAGTGACTGCCAAGAGGACATAAGGGTCGATACGCAAGTCAGCATGAGAAGGTACAGTAGTTTAAATGGTTTAAGATTTGGATCACTGGTGAGTTTGAGGTCAAGATAGGAAAGAGAAGAGGTTTCCCACTAGAATGGAAAGACCTCCCGCAGCTGCAGCACATTGGATGTCGGCAAGGATACATTAACCTCCCTAGCGGTCTGATTATGTCCATATTTCTGTGCTCAAAGCGGTACATTTTTTTGCATGGAAATATGTTTTTTTTTTTATTGTAGGCCTGTAATTTTTAGGAATAACTCACTGAAATCTGTCCAAACAAGAGTCTAGTAAACATCCCGGGTACATTACAATTTGAAACATGAAATCATAAATTATAATTTAATAATCACAAAATAATATAATAATAAATTTAATTCAATAATATAATCAAACGAATAACACTGAAATTTGAAATATAGCGCCAAGTTCGCACATCACTGAGCAAAGTCGCAAAATCGTTTTCAGTGTCTGATGACGAATTTCCCCACGAATCATTATCACTCAATTCTGCAAGTGGTTCTAATTTACTATCACTGTTCTCTAGCTGATCTAAAACCGCTTTTGATCGCTTTTTGGACGCCATGGACGTTTCTCAGTTTCAAGGCAGAAAGAACAGTAAAAATGCAGGCAGGGCACAGGACAAAGCACTAGGGACAAAATGTATGTGAAATGGTTTGATACAGTAATGTTTTTACTATGTGATTTTAGTGTATTTAGTGAATGTCACTTTTTTTGTCATTTTCAAATTTCCCACCGTTCCATCCCCCGTACGTCCCGACGCTCGCAGGGGATGGAACCCAGATGACAGATGCCGGCATCCGCCGGAGGACATTGCCGGGGACACTGCAGGAGGGACATCGCGGAAGCGAAGGACAAGGTAAGTGATCGAGGTATTGCGGAGCAGCGCCACATGGTAAGCCCAAGTGTAGCTCGGGGTTACCGCTTGTGGTACTGAAACTTTACCCCGAGCTACACTCGGGAATACTGCCATGGAGGTTAAGCGCCTTAGATTTCTGTTGGTTAACCTCAAGTCCGGATAAAGAGGTAAAGTGGTCCAGGACACAAATCAATAGTAAATAAGTGCCGCACCCACACTACTACTTCCTACTGCTTACTTATTCCAACTTAAGTGCTTTAATGACAAATGCAGTGCAGATAAATACCGTGATGTAACCCAGTAGCTACACAGTGTATACAGTGTTCATAAAAATGAAAAAAAACTGTAAAAAGCAAATCAATGACAAATTTTAAAAAAATTGTCCATGCTGGAAATTCCGTCCTTTCTTCAAGCACAAAGTGCATATCATACTGTATATAATCTTTACAAAACATATGTGCATAAAAGTGTCCAATATTTTCAAATATAAAACAAAAAACGGCGTCCAATCTTTCCACCACTCTATGCCACAATTCATAGCTCTTTTAGATATATGTATATCTTGACACTATTAGACAGGTGGTATCATTAGATTTTCTTGTTTTTATCACTTGTTTACTTTAGAAGTTACAATAATAGTGTTGTGGATAGTAGCAGTGCAGCACTTATTTACTATTGCATTGATTTGTAGTGTGGGAACACATGATCGCGTCAGCTAGCTGCACTAATATCCCTACATAGATTACAGGTAGTGCAAGAGTATTACATATATTCATTACTGTGCTGAAAAAGGAGCATTGGGGCACCATTCAAACTTGTAACACGCAATTAATGCAGTGGTGTGAATGGGCCCTTATAATGTCAGGATTTTATTTTTGCATGTGACCTCACAGTCGAGATTTTTTGCTACCTTTCTATGCCAATGACACCCAAAAAAAAAAAAAAAAAAAAAAAAAACACCATGTGGGATGCAGTTGGCATCAGGACAATTTTCCTTCTCTTTGGGGAGATTCTTTCTTCCCGCTGTGTTGGTGGAACAGGAAGTTAAAGTAAATCTCCCCTACAACAGTAAAAAAAAAAAACATTCCCTATTCTATCAAAAGGAAAAAAGTTGTGGCTTTAAAGTACAGTGCATGAGTAGCATAGTGGCAGATTATTTAGTAGCTTTGCCTTACAGTCTACAATTCCTTTTGTAAAGTTGGCCATAGACTGAGGGATTTGTTTCAGGAAAAGAAAATCACTTGATTCCCTTATCACACAATCCGTATTGATGGGGGAATCCCTCCCACAGAGCCATTGTGAACACAGTGATTACTGCTAGAAGCTATAATAACCGTTAGCAATAAACACATGTAAAATTCGACAGGCTGGTTGTACTAAAGTTGATCAATCGATTACCTTGGGTACATTCAGTCTGTCCATACATGATTGGAACATCTATGGCCGGTTTTAAGATGTGTTGGCTATACAATGAAAAATCAAATACTGCACTGTTCCAGTAAACAAACTTCTTTTCTGTGTGACTACATGGAATGACATCTACTGACCAGCCTTTGGTATTTCTGAGTGGGTTTGTGAAACAGGCCTCTGATTCTTGAAGAGCCCGTGTTCCCAATCTGCTTACAGACACTTCATTCCAGAGAGGCCACAGCCTCAGGCCAGACATGCCAACATTTATACAGCTCTCAGTCATGTTCCAAGAGCAAAACCGATCAGGAACAGATCATGACACTACATAATCCTGATGTAACGTGTCCTCCTTGTTACTCCATTTACTAGCTTATTTCTGGAACTGGACAGGCTCCGCTTACTCGGCCTGCTTCTTAAAATTGCAGCTGTGACATTTTTCTGCACTAATAATGAGGGAATGCATTGGTTGGTCTGTTTGTTCCAGTAATGGTAGGATTATGTGCAATGCCATGATATTCCCACAGTCTACAATGGAATCATACTTCTAAAAGCAGCCATCAGTCGAGACAGGACACAATGTTCAGCTTTTGTGAGCATTCAACATAGATTCTAAATATGTACAAAGACTGTCCTTCTGTAATTATTAGGAAATGGTGGTATGTGTTGCTGACCTTTTTCTCAAAATGCTAGCTGTCTGGTTTCAATATGGTCATGGACAGGGATTCAAAAATAGATGGAGTTCCATCTTATAACTTCAGATTTTTACAGCGATTTAAGATGCTTTTTAAAAAAAAAAAAAAAAAAAATTAAAAGTCAGCAACTACAAATACTTTAGCTGCTGTCCAGGGATCAGCGCTGTCCTCACCCAGACAGATTCCTAGCCAGTTTTCGGGTCCCCGGCGCTGGTACCTTTAGTCACCAGTCACATCACTGCGATTTAAAAATCGCTCAATTTCAGGTGCGATTTTTGAAGACTATATTGCGACTTATGAAGATTTTCAATGATTTCTTGCAATTTGCTTTGCGATTTCCATTATATTTATTTTTGTAAAATCGCAATAAACTGCAGAAAAAGTGATGCAAGAACTACTTTAGAAAATCGGGCTGCAGCAAAACACATGTTAAGACACTGACATTCACATTCATTATATGCGATTTCAGTTGTGATTTAAATTCGCAGATTGCACCGGTATGACTAGGCACCTACTATGCAGTCAGCTGTGAGGTGTAGTGGCTTCACAGCTGGCTTCCTACAGCACATAGGTGAGCCATGCTGTGCTTGGTCACACATCTTCCTAAGACCTGTGATGTGTCTCAGAAAGCTGCAGGAATAACTTCTGTTTGGATCACCTAGTGGGAGCAGGTGCCTGTAAAAACTAAGTACCTGCTCCCCACCCCCACCCCCCAAAAAAATTGTGTCCACAGGTGTTGGGGGAGTATTGGTCAGAAGTTTCGCTTTACCACAAAAATTTGTTTCCAAACACACACAGACTACAAACTACATGCAAAGTTATTTTTTAGACCATGACCCTCAATCTATTGAGAAAAAGGAAAAAAGGAAAGAAGAAGATTGTATTGCCATTTTTAACACCGCCTGATGTCCTGTCACAGGTGGCACCTCCATGCCTTCACCATGCCATAGCTCCAAAATGTCCCACATTTGGAGGTCCCTATTAAGGCCAAATCCCTCTGTCCCTTGTGCAGCCTCAGTTGTCCCTCATTTTGGTCTGATGTGTACATCTCTATACAAAATGTGCTATTTACTATTAAAAGTGTTATGGTGCACTAAACTTTTTATTTAACTGCTATATTACTAAATTTTTTATTTTGAAAAGAGAATATAAAGAAAAAAGAAGTCAGAAAAGCAATTGTGTGGTTTAGCTATTTATATTAGATCTTTGTAGTCCACTTAACCAGGCCATGGAAGGGACGTGTCTTTTGCTCACGCACTGTGGTGTGCTGAAAAGGTCCTTCTTTATCATTTCAGAAAGTTGGACTTATGACTATACTGTCTAAAACTAAAGAAAAAGTTTGGGCTTAAATTTAATTCTGGCACATGAAAGCTTACATATACAGTTTTTTATATTATCTGTGTAGAGTTAACATGACATTTCAGGAAAAAAAAAAAAAAGTTTTAGGTTTGAAGGTCCTTCAAAATCCATCAGCCTGTACCATTGTTTTTTTGCCACTGTCCTCTGTTCTACTACAAATATCCCTTGTGGAAATACTCCCAGAACATAGTTCAGTAGTGATGGTGCATCTCAGAGATATCAAAGTTCTAAAAAAAAATGAATAAATAGCTATCTGGAAAAAAAAAAAAAAAAAAGACACGAACAGTGAAATGGAAATCTATGCATCTGGGATTAAGCAGAAACCCGTTGTAGGTAAAGCGCAGTTCCAGTAAACAAGTCAAATAACCCATTGACTAGCTATCCTAATCATTGACTAGCTGTCAGAAAGTCATCAAATTGATCTAAATCTGATACCTTAGCATCCAGGTCATCCAGGTTACACAGAGCTCCTCACCTGTGGGAGAGTCATTGGGCAACAAATAACCACATCACTCCCACTTCTAGTCTTGAGATGCCCTGTGGTCAATATACATTACCTGATGGTTGCTCAAACCTGTGGAATTACATGTTTGAAACCAAGGAACGTATACCTGCACTAATAACCAGAGAAGTTACATGACTCTATAAAATATACATACCTTCAGCATTCTTAAGTTACATTCTCAGCTGTACCAAGGTACCTGAGACACCACCAAAAAACAACCCGATCCCCCTGGGTTGTATGTACTTGCTCTTCCTACCCATTCGCAATAGAGAATGAAGCTCATTGCGTGGATTCACTGTCAATGCTATTCTCATAACAATTAAGAGTGCATGTGTATGAGTGAGGTAAAGTTACACCAAAGCATACCTTTAACTTTCTATTGTAAAAATAATGTAGGTTGAAAACTCACCAAGATGCTTTGTTGCTCAGGTACTTTCTACAGATTCAAAGGTAAAGTGAGCGTCATCGAAGCTTGTTTGTGATAAGAATTAATATTGCTCTGATTATACTGGTGGTGACTAATCAGGGAACAACTCATAATATTATTTATGGATGTATTACCCTGCCCATGGGGTAAAGTTCACTGGGATAAGAACCACATTTAATATGAAAGGATTTTCTAGAGTTTGAAATAAATATCAGGCAACAAGGTGAGAAAGAAGCTTGTAATGTTGCTCAAATTGCAGGTTTAAATATGTGAATAATGTATTAAACCAGGGGTCCTCAAACTTTTTAAACAGGGGGCCAGTTCACTGTCCCTCAGACCGTTATAGGGCAAGACTATAGTTTTAAAAAAAAAAAAAAACAAAAAACAAAAACTATGGTCATCGCCTGTACTGTGTCTGCATTTGTTCAGAGACTGTGGACATACAACGGCGGTGGGAATACTGGGCCGGCCGCTCTATAAGACGCACAGACATTTCCCCCCCAAGTGCGTCTTATGGAGCGAAATAGTGTCCCATCATTGGTGTCAGTGGGAGGAATAGTGCCCCATCATTGGTGTCAGTGGGAGGAATAGTGCCCCATCATTGGTGTCAGTGGGAGGAATAGTGCCCCATCATTGGTGTCAGTGGGAGGAATAGTGTCCCCTCATTGGTGTCAGTGGGAGGAATAGTGTCCCCTCATTGGTGTCAGTGGGAGGAATAGTGTCCCGTCATTG